CAAAAGATAGTCGTATTTCAGAAGAACGAGAAATTGTTAAGGGGATGCTGGAGTGACAGTCGAAGTTAATTAAGATTGATAGTACAGACTTTTTTAAATTCCAAATTCGACAATAGTGACATCTTTCATTCATTTCTTATACTTATTATATATCGTTGTGTCTTGCTCGAACGCATTCATCTGTCCTTATCTAACATATTGCAACGCCATTTCTTAGAAAGAGATCAACTAAAATACTGCTCGGTTTCATGGCTTCACGTCAATTTCACTCGTAATATACCAACGAAATTTTCAGTGACTCTTTTCTCTTATACTAAAGCCCCTACCTCGTTTCTGAAAGCATAGAATTGTTCTTCGAGGTTTTCTGTAGGCTGCTGGTTATTTATTTTAATCGGGTAAAATCTGAAACTCTTATATGCAGCACATATTGTGACGAGTTGACTGCAGGAGCCGGTGACAAAACTACAATTTTTAATTTTCTTTCATTTTTTGTATTAAATTGTAGTTGGCAGCCTGCGTTGTTATCGATACTTTAATTGTGGAGAAGGACTTTTCAATCCATAAACATAATTAAGAGAAAAGAGTCTTTAAAAATTAATGGTAAAACAGGACACTCCAGCATCCCCTTAACGCACGTACAACTATCTTCTCCGCGATTTCATAATCTTTTTAAATATGTCTAGTCTAAGAGTGGATACATCGAAGAACGGTCATCACAATTCGAAACTCCAGTAGATTTTTATTTCTGCGGAAAGGATATTCAAGAAAATAGCAACCCTGTTCCTTGAGTTTTAAATAACATTTTATTATCTTTTTACTTCCATGTGTATCAAAATGTTAATCAATCCATTTCTACATATAGTTAATTTTAACATAAACAACATTCATATTAACGTATGTAACTAATAAAATAAATTAGAATCAAATTAAAACATCTTCTTGAGTTAAATTATTTATAAGTACATTATTTTAGTTAAATTAATAACATATTGAAGAAAATAAGGAGAAAGATATTGTATATTGTTAATTTTACAATATTTTAGTAAGCATTTTTTAAATATTACTCGCGCGAATATATTTTTATGTGATAATAATATTTTTTTTAAACACATTTTTTAAATGACATGTCCCAAAATATTCCATGGAGGAAGGACAGTATTTGGAATTCGCGTATAAAAAAATGAAAGTGGAATAGGCCTATTGGGGAAACCACTATAAAAAAAGCACACTATGCTATCTACATCATGATAGGTAGTGTGAAAATAATAGCATTTTATCATTTTCTTGTGACAGAAATCTACTTACAAGTAGTTTTATAATAAAATTACCTCTATCATAAATAATTTAAAAAATAATCATTTTTTTAAAAAGTTCTGAAAATTGTTGCCAACATAGAGTTTGAACTTCAAACTTTGAAGGGCCTTATGTATGAAACGATTTTCAGTTTTCTCTACTATATTTCGAAAACTATTCAAGATATAAGAAAATGTTTTATACAAAAGTTTTTCAATAAAATTACCTTATTTATTCACGTCAATGATATTTTTTTAGAATAATTATTTAATAATTTTTTTTCGAAAATTTTGAAAAATTATTTAAAAATTTATTATTAACGCGAATGAATACAGCTAATTTTGTTGTAAAACTTTTGTATAAAACATTTTTTAATATCTTGAATAGAAAAAAGCTGAACACCGCTGTACACGTAAGGAGTGGTTTCATCCCTTCAAACCATTTTTCCGCCCCAACTGATATTTTCTAATTTCATCTCTTTATGTGAGTTCACAAAGTTGGATTAAAATCAGAATTTGATATCTCGCGAGGTTCCCTTGTTAGTAAAATTCTTTCTTCTAACTGATAAATTATGTTTCGAAGCATTTATAGTAAGACTTTAACCGTCAATTAAAAGATTTTTAGACCAATGCAAATTTTTTTATAAAATGTACATAAATTTTACAAATCTTATTAAAACACAAGAAAGAGAAACTAGAAAGTTATAATTATAATTTTCTTTTTATGGAAAGTTCTATAGAAGTTCATGTATATGAACTTCAAAATTTATGTACATAAAAATCACATGGAATAAATAAATCGTCTACGTAGAAAAATATAAATTTTGTTAACCTTAGAAAAATTTGTTAAACTCATTTTAAACACAATGTAGGTTAAACCGTGGTAACAATGTAAAACAATATAGTTAAAAAGGCATATTGTGGCATATTGTGCGGCAAACGCCGGTTGTGGATGGTTAAATTATTTTGTATTTTGATATATTACAATTGAATATATTATTGGATAATATTTATGTCATAATGATTGTAATCAAACAATCAACCGAACAAACAAGATGCCAACTCTCTGGCTGCTGTTCGCCGCTCTGTGGCTTTGTTTGAGTAACTGTGGGCACCCTTTGCTCTGTCAAAGAAAGAAAGGAATGAGATCATATAAGAGAGAACAAAAAATTAATTGTCAATCTCACAGAAATGTAACTCGTGTACATGTCGAGATTCATGTTCAAGAACAAACTCTTATAAAGATTCCAAGTCACTGGATAGGCAGATATACAGGAAAATGTGAAACACACTATTTCTTTTGGGGATCATACACACATAATACCTGGCGTATCTCCAATAAATTGGAAATATCAAGCATAAATGATGTATTAGGTGGCTTTTGTACAGAGGCCACTTACCAAACACCCCTTCTTCAACATCCAGATCCAGTTTGCAAGTATGCATGGTTAAAAGAAACAATCACAGACACATCATACTGCATATCAACCACTGTTTTTAAAGCAGAAGGGCATCCCCTATCATCGGAAGAAGAAGCTTTTGATGAGAATAAGATTTACAAAGGATATGCTCAAACTGTAACTGGTGCCATTGTCACCTGAGATCCCTCTGTAGATATTGAAGACTGATAAAAGATATGTTCCTCGTTTTAAAGGTGAAGGCTTGTTGAATCATCAACTCTTAATAATGGAAAAAATCCAGACAAATTACATCTTTATTATATCTAAAAAAACATTTTTTATAAAATTATATTACATTTATATATAAAAAAAAAACCAATCAATTAATCAACACTTCAAAAGAAAAAAACCGAAGAAAACACAACCCAAACGGAAAGACCAAGAAAAAAGGAGGAACCAGACAGCACATCAAAATGAATGACCACATTGAAGAGCTTCTTCAAGAGGGCCCTCCTGAAGAAAGAAGACCAATATTTAGAAAGGACAGACATCTGTCCTCAGCATTAATAACCTCAGAGATAGAATATCTCCTAACACATAAGAACAATCCTCGAGCTCTAAAAAGAGAACACAGGGATCTTTTACAACATGTAGAGGAGAAGCATGCTCTTATAAAGGACAGTGCGGGATTTATACCTTGATTTATGAAGGAATGGTCAAACATGCAAAACCAAAATACTTCTGTTCAAGAACTTAACACGGCTCTTAGGTGGCTCATCATGCTTTGAGAATATCCGTTTATGACTATTTGAGAAAGGAAATCAATCTTACTCCACCTGTCAATGAGGAGTTATTCACTTTATATAAGGTAAAAAAATGCTTCAATGATGCTTTTACAGAGATGTTTTCTACTTTCACAAAACATACACCCTGGGAAAATACAAATGTGATGCTTATGGAAACCTACACCTGGTATGGACTAATATGAATCATTGTTGGTTAGTCACTCTCACATAACTTGTATTAGGGATGTAATAAATTCATGGTTTAGTATAATATTATACAGTTTAATTTATGACAATAAATATCCCTCTTTTAGCTTATACAAAGAGGTTTCAGATACTCTACAAATGGGTAGAGATCTTATTATAACAGAAATGACTGCTTACGCTCTTATCAAAATGTGGCCCTTCCTCGTTATAGCCAGCATCCTCAGAGATACAGAACACAAAACATCCCTTTTTAGAACTCTTGAAGAGGGAACAAAAGAATTTTGGCATACAGCATTTTATAAAAATGCAACAGCAACAATATGTGGTAATATTCATGTTCAACTTAAATTAGTTAACTGGCCTATGGAAATGCTTTGAACATCCAAACATAAGTATAAATGAGAGTGTAAATAACTGGATAAGCAAAGGTGGTATTTGTGAATCAGGATGTGAGATCATAGTAAATATCATAGTTTGTGTCTTCCGTTTGGAATTTTGTCGTCAATACTACAAGCAACACAAAAGATGGCCTGTTCTTCAGATAGATGAAAGAACAAGCAAGAGGATAAGATTAAACTATACGGGGAATACATGGAATGAAAATCCAAATAATCCCTGGAGGTCAAGTGACTTTGAGAATATACGTCTGAAGAAAAATTTTGATTTTGATTATCATGTAGAAACAGCAGATCTTCTCTCTGACAAGTTTATTATACCCGAGAACAGGGCTATGGAGGAAATCATAACATTGTCTTTTGTGAATCTGGCTGAATTTAGTAGACTTTCTCTTTACTCTTATTTCTAAAATCTTTTGTTTTCTATTGCTCAGTTTATGACAATCTTTTTTTGAAAAAAAAATATTTCAGTGAAGTTTTAGAGGGTCTCTCCAAAAATCCATATGACGTCTTAATAAATCACTTTCAAAGGTGTGGTCATTTTAAGGCTTTAAGAAGCTTGTTAAAGAGCCCCAAAAAAATCCTGTACACAAAGGAAGAGGCCCGAACACTTTTATACAACATATTGAATAATATTTGTATCAATATTCAATTGTAATGTATCAAAATACAAAATAATTTAGCCATCCACAACCGGCGTTCGTGGTGTATTCCTTTTTAATTCATTTTAAACATTTTAAATCTAATCTATGCTGAGTCTGAAGCGCAAAATATTAAATTGAATTTTATTCTTAAAAATGTGAAAATTGATCACGTTTAATAGCGATTGATGATGCAAGAACATTTAAATTTGAATTTATCAAAATTTATAAATTGATAAATTTATTAATTTTAATTATAACTTTGTAAAGGCATTATAAATACAATTGTTTTTTGTTGTTAATCTTGTTTACCATCTCGCTTTGAAACGTATTCAGTAAGTTCTTTAGCGTACATGTCGAGCCGTTGTGTCATCTAAAAGATACATTAAACAAAATAAACAAAGTAGAATTTGAACAGTTTAAGGTATAAAAAAGAATTTTCAGAATATATATTTCGATAAAATATATATTCCTTGTCACAATCATATTTTAATAACAATACATTCAAATCTCTGTGCGTTTCTTTTCAAACAATTCGTTTTTTCGAGTAAATTTTAAGTACATAATTTTATTATGTGAATTCCGTTCACTAAATATCTACAGCATTATTACTTAATGTTTTCTTGAATTACAAGTATTAATGTATTTTCATCACGCGTGCACGTAATGTAGCCCATAACGCAACGCTTTTGCGTGGGAAAAATAGCCGATAATTCAAGCCGTTGAATTATTTCTCTAACCCCACGCAGAAGCGTTGAATTAAAGAAAATAGCGCCACGTTGCAGCGAGACTAGTGAATTAACGCAACGCAGTGGTAACGCTCGTACAAATAACAACACGGAGTGCATAATAAAAAACGAACATTTACTGTAATCGAAAATAAAGACACAGACTTATCCACTCCATCTAAAATTATTCGTATTAATATCTCTAATTGCAATAACATAAATTTAAATATTTCAAATTGTAATAATCTCACAATTATAATTGAAAATAATGAGCAATAAAGAATTTTGTATTGTTAAATATTTATCTACGAAATGTTTTTAATTTTTTTTTGTGGGGGGGGGCTGCGCCCACCCGAACCCTCCCCTTCCTGCGCACTGTCCCATATGACTTTATAATTATATAGCATATTACTAGCACAGTGCACTCGTGATGAAAAATAGTATGTGCACCCTGTGTGGTGTAATTGCCTATTGCGCAACGCGGGCGCGCATGTCGCCAACGGCGCCCGCGTTGCGCAATAGACAACTAAACCCCACTCGTTACACAATGTACTGTTGCCAAACTTATTGCCATGATGATTTTATACATTATTCTATACATACAACGAATAATAAGAGAATATGAAACACTCACCCTATATCCCCAAATATCTTTCACATGTCGACACATATTGAGGTCCAATTCTCCAACGAGAAGTCCATCTTTGTGCCGATTTAGACTTGGAGTTCGCGAGCCATCAGGAGCAGTAATATAGCTAGAGCCATAAAAGAATCCAAAGTCGTTGTGCGCTGGTTTTCCATCACCAGAAGTAAATTTATTTGCAAAATGCTCGGTTCCTACGCGATTAATAGCACAAGTATAATAACTATTTGCTATCGCGGCGCATCTTGCTTCGATTGGCCATAAATGTTCTGATAATCCTTGAATAGTTGCAGATGGATTAAAAACAATCTAAAAAATATAAAGGAGATTATATGATCGAGAAATCCGGATAAGATTATATATCAATTAGATTATGAAATTATAAAAGTTGTAAAACGATAAATTTTTCCTCTAAAAAAAAATCAATTTCAAATTTTATAAGAAATAACATTGCACGCCAAATTTATTTATTATCTTATTTAGAAACGCTTAATAATCTATGCCTTACCTCCGCTCCATTTAAGCCAAACATCAACCAGTTCAATGGATGATGACGTCCGTAACATATATTAATCGCGATGCGTGCAAAGGGAGTGTCGAACACTGGATGTCCTGTGTTACCTTCCATGTAGTAAGTCGATTCGTTAAAATCCCCGATACGAGGAATATGATTCTTTCTGTGTTTCCCAAGAACTGTACCATCTGTGTTGATCACCACGCAGGTGTTCCAGATAGTATCACCGTCAGCAGAATCTCTCTCCAAAATCGGCGATACTATTACCATGTTGTATTTTTTAGCGAGCTCAGCCAAAAACACAGTCGTAGATCCCGTTTCAGCATCCTCAGCAAACTCGCACCATGGGTACTTTTCCCTCGTGCAAAAAGCAAACGGCATAGCTGCAATAATCGTATAGGTCTATTATTATATAAATTTATATATTGCATATATAATAAAATTATAATATTATACAATTTCATAACTATATATATTATATATAACTAATGGATTTTTCACATACGCCATGCTTCTTGGAGACATAGAATGTTAACGTTGTATTGAGCTGCTTGTACAATATATGATTTAATTTTATTATGTATTGCATCTCGTTGATTTTGAATAGGATCCGTTGTTGGTGCTACTATGCTATGTTGAATCAGTCCAACGCGAACTAGACGTGGGGCACGAAGCTCTTCATGGACTCGACTAAGCATCTGCCATCCTTTTACTTCAAAATTTTTATCTTCATATTCTATACCCAATGGACTAAAAATAATACGGTGTATTGCTTAAACTTTTCAACGTCAAATAAAACTTATATTGTGCATAACTTAAATCTAACTTTGTGTTTTACAAAATTATATTTTATCAAGAACTCTACATTATATATTTCTTGTATTCTCTAATCAAGTATACATTCAATACATTATAAATATGCGTTAAGCAAACAAATTGCTATAACTAAATACTTTTTATTGTGATCAAATAGTTATAAGATTAATATTTGCAAAATAAAAACATACACATCTTTATTCGCAAAGTTTAATATTTATATTTTTAATCAGTATTTTTTAAATAAATGTTCTTATATAAGTGATATATACATAGATAGAAAAAGATATATATTTTGCAATATAAAATCTTACGTAGATGGATGCCCATATAAAATACGTTTCACTTCAGCCAATTTATTCTGTGGTATATATTGCTCCAAAATTTGTTCCACAGTTTCAGTCATGATTGCTACCTTCCTGGCTTGCTTTCTGACTGAATAATCTTGAAGCTTGAGGTTTTGTAAATGCGATAGCACTTCTCCCCACTGTCACATCTACCAAAGCAGTAAAAACAAGATTAGACAACATGGGAGACAAACATCTGAAGGACATTACAGACATTTGTGAAATTTAAAAAGATCTTTATGTTACGTTATAATTGTAATATTATTACACATTATGATATTGTATATGTTAGAACATCTGTTGAACACAAACTAACAGTAACATCAATATTATATAATTTCCTATTAAAAAATGTTACATATAACATATGTTACGTTTATATTGTTGACTGAAAAATTAATATTTAAGTCAAAATAATGTTAATTTTTGTTCAGCAGGGTGTTTCATATTGATAACAAAATGAATTTATTTTATTCAAAAAAAGAAAAAATTTTATTTATTACAAAATAATATAAATGTATGTACATACATTGGGAAAGAATTATATACAAACATATAGGATGTTTCTATTTGATGAAACAAATCCACAGAAATATTTTTTTATCTTTGTTAGAATGGAATTGTCAAAAAAGATAAAACGACGTTTGTGTAATGTGTCGACTTGATTGTATCAGCAAATAAAAAGCATATATAAAAAAAACATATAAAAAGATATATGAAAAGATATAATATGGTAGTGTCTCGGCACTAATTTATAAGTATATATAAGCATTTCATTGCTTACATATGTAGAATGGGAAAATACATTCTGTAGAATAAGAATTATATGAATGTAATGATCAGAATTTGTTATCTCGCAGAGTGATTAATTTTTATTATATGTAAGGTAATATGTTATTATGGAAGCTTTCCATTTTGTGACACAAGTCGACACAAACATCATTTTATCTTTCTTGACATTTCATAAATAACAAAGATAGAAGAATACTAATTATATCAGCTTGTGTCAACAAATGGAAAGCATCCTATGTTTACAATTTGTTACAATGTAGTTACAATTTTTAATAGTAGAACTGGATATTAATTGAAGAATACTTATCGCATAATAGTGAAAAACACGTACAGAATTTTTATGGCAGAAGGTGGTGCAAGCTTATCTTATCTGTACGATTTGATGTGTGAGAACATGTGCGAATGATACGTGACATATGATTGGTAAAAATAGATCGTAACAAGAATTTTAAAATTTTCATTCGTCACGTGCTGTAAGATGGCAGAAATATCGCATTATCTTGTGATAACTAGTCATGGTATACCATATTATGATAATGGGAAAATGAATCCGTCAAGTATGTAAAATGTTTTTGAGTTGTGTGTGTAATTAGTTCATTTATGACCAAAAAAATATGTACAAATGTTTAATTTATGTATTTTTTAGTTTAATACGGATATATTTGCTGTAGAAGTTTGATGTATAAAAGTGCACAACGGGTACATATAAGTACAGTTCAGAACTGTTCAGAAACGCGAAAGTACAAATCACATATAAGGTTAGCAGGATCACAGCTAATACCTGCATGCATTCGTGGCTGAAGTACAACAAAATTTATGAACAAAGTATTTGTAAACTTCTCAAAGAGTGAAATAATAAAAGTCCTTATTAAATGTAAACCGGGGAAAAAAAACTGATAGGATTGCATATTGCAAGACTGAAGGTTCTAATCTAGGTATATCTAACCTTATTTACAATACAATGATTTATTAACATTTATTAAAATAATGTCTAACATTTTTGCAATTTGTCCTTTTCAAAATCTTTAAGGTGCAAGACATAATTAGATAACATATACGTATTAATTGTATCGAAAGTTGGGCAGAAAGTCTCATAACGATGGCTGCGACAAGGGAAAAGCGTACAAACGCTGGCAATAAAATGGCAAGGTTGCTAAACGAAGAAGAGGAAGATGATTTTTACAAAACTACATATGGTGGCTTTGACGAAGTGGAACAGGATCACGATTACTTGTTTGTGGTTTTTATAATTTATTAATTTTATTACATTTATTCTTATTTCTCTATTACATTGATGTAACAAAAACTCATAATAAAGTGTATAAACGTTTGAATTTTAGGGAAGAAGATGAAGCTGAGGATGAAGTGGATTCGGACTTTAGCATTGATGAAAATGATGAGCCAGTTTCTGATACTGAACAAGAAGGACCGAAAAAGAAACGCAGATTAGTAACAAAAGCATATAAGGAACCTAAACCTGCCACGTTGCATACACATTCGGCACCTAAGGAGAAAAAAATAAAACAACAAAAACAAGAAAAGATTTGTGTAGATAGTATAGGTAACATAAATATTTAGCATATTAATATATTAAATGTTTTATATGGCATATTAATATATTAAATGTTTTCTTTTCAATATATCTACTTTATCATGTTATGTAGAAAGAAAATCAATTCGCCGCTCTACTGCTGCAAAGTCAGCAGCTACACAGAAACGTTTGCGTGAGAGAAATGAGGATCAGAGGCGAAAGGTGAAAGTTGTAAAGCATGATATATGGAAACCTACTCAGGAAGAATTATTGGAAGAAGCGTTACAAACAGAAGAGCTTAATTTGAAATCCTTAGGTATGTGTAAAACAAAATACATTTAATAACGTTCTTTATTTGGATATTTTCTCTTTCTTGAAGAAAATATAAATAAAATAAAAAATAAGATTAAATAAGAATATACCTTTAAGAAAGAGCTATAATTGTTCTACACTTGCAGAAAAGTATCAGAAACTAGAAAATGAAAAAAAGACTACAAGGACTGTGAGAAAAACGCATGTTGGACCAATGATTAGATACCAATCATTGTGTATGCCAGTTATGGTATTATCTGAAGTAAATGAAGAAGAAAAAATCAATGTTGAATGTGACGATGAGAAAAAAGGGAATTCTAATAATACAGGTTCTGACAGCTCTCAAAAAGAGAAGAGGTATATTTCATTTATTTAACTTTTTGTGATAAAATATAGAAGGTATAAATAAGAGATAAATCCAAAATAAGTTTTCAAAATACTGAATTTAATATATTGTAATTCCATTTAATAAATTTCAGTGAAACAGAGTCAAAAATAGATGGAAAAGATGATAATAAAGAGGGATCTGTAGATGCTCCCTCTGCTTCTACTAAAAAGATACATGGCGAAGAAACTGGGACATTTTATGAACGAACGTTTATTACTTTTGAAAACGAACAATCATATTCAGATGTATTTAAGAAATCGACACAACAAAGGCCGCCACTGAAACCTTTGTGTGCAATCACGCGGTAAAAAATGCTATTTAAAAGTTTCTTACATTTACAATTGCGTATTTCTACATTTTATTATTTATAAACAAATTAACCCTTAAATGCCTTTTCAGCATACTCTAGAGTCCGACCGAAACCACATTTTGACTTTCGGCTGAAATCGAAAACGAATATTCGGTTGTTATTCAATTTCGGTCGAAATCAGAACTGAAACTTAGATAAGTCTCACTAAGAAAGAGAAAGAGAAGTTAACGGAATCACATTTTATTCGGCCGAAATCGACATTTTTGAATTAATTTTACAGAGACCGTATGATTTTTTCAGAAATCTTGACAAATTCATACTCTAAAAACAAGATTTTATTAAATTATGTAACTGTAATAATATAATAATATTGCATTCTTAATTTTTAAAGAAATCAAATCACAGTTATTATTATCAGGATCACATCAAAGTTTGTACTCAAATTGTCTTAAGCTTAATCAATGAGTTAATAATTAAAATTGAACATTTGTTTTTTAAACGCTCATCGGCGCGTTGCCAACCTAAACTGATTAAAACCGAAACCGAAATTTCGGTCGGACTCTATACTCTACTTTTTTTCCAATGCTTTTTCATTGCTTATCTTTTTTATCAATAAAGATATATATACGCGTAGCTTAGCGCCGAGATACTACCAGTGTCTCCAGATTTGATATCATTATATTTCTTAATTCTAGTGATTTGTTCTATTTGACTTAAAAAGTAATTTATTTATTTATTTTTTAAGACTTTTTATTACATTGATCCAAATAATAAGATCATATAAATTTGAACAGCAGGATTAATGTTTGGCGTTTTGATTAAAAAAAAATTGTTTACAATACCTTTACACATTTTTATGAAAGTTATAAGCGATCGAATTGAATTGAATATATCATATCCAAGTGTATTGGTTTCCTGTAGCATTTAAGGGTTAATGTTATAATGTAGCATTTAAAAAAATTAAAAATTTTTTGAATTGATAGGTTGGCTGCTAAGTATTTAGATCCTATGACACAATTACCGTATAAAAATGTACAGACCTTTCGATTGCTTCGAGAAGCATATTATCAGCAGTTAGAAGGTCGGACTGATCTTAACGATGCCTCTCAAAGTCCAGAATTATCACGATGGCTTGAATGGCGACAGAAAAATCATAGTAATTCTCAGAGGAACACTATTCGTCTGGAGTCAGCATCTTTACCCGTGTCTTCATAATCTTTTGCTTTATAAGTAATGTAAGTAATTTAAGATTAAAAATGTTAGTTTTTTAATAATAACAGTTTTTGTTATTTCTGTGATCCGCCAAATTAAGCTTTAATTATAAATTAAATTTTAAACGTAAAATAAGCTTTGTTATGTATATGTAATAAAGTCCACTAACACTATCTTTATAAAATATCTAATTTATTTTCATGCATTTTTTTTAATGCTGATTGTGTATATAATATATAAATTATAACACTATAAATTTATAACAAGTTACAAATTAAAAATATAAGATTGAATATTTTGTATGTCTATACATATATGTATAGAAATATTTTTCATATATTACAGTTTTATGACTTGAGGACATTTTTTTATACATGAAATAATTTCAGCAATTATACAATATTTCTATATTGCATAAAATAATTATATATATAAAACATATTTGTTTCTCAATTAGTTCCTTTTCTTTACATCGGTAACAAATTATATTCCATAGGGAGCAGTAAAATTATTTCTATCATAAATGTTATCACAACGTAAAAATGGGAGTCATATTACTTATGTCAAGCATTTATGGATACATTCAATTTAATCATTTATCTTAAAAGCAAGTTTGGTATTTTATTAATAAAATAACGAAATACAAGGCATTATTAATAATCTATTGTTATAGAATAGATGTAATATCTTTCCGTATTTAACTGAGGGTGAAACAATCTTATATCTTAAATCATATTTTTCTGCTGTATGTATATATATATAAAATTTATTCTACTTAGTTTAAAGGAAATTATTATTTGCCTTTCCTAAGTTTTGTAGCTTGTGGCCTACGGATACAGAATAACTCAAAAATATCTGTAGAAAACTATGGTCACTTTGACATCGCTTATACATATTACAGTTCTGAGTTTCATGTTGTGTGTGTATGTGTGTATATGTTTATAACAAAGTAATAAGCCCGCTATATCAAATGGTAATAATATTTGTGATGATTATCTTACCATTTTTAAGATTGCTTCGAGAAGCAATGGATTCCTCATTTCTTACAACGGATATATATATATATATATATATATATATATATATGTGTGTGTATATATATATATATATATATCGCGATAATATAAATTATACACGCTATAAATCAAGTTAAACGCACGCACGATGCACTATAATTATCTTGCATTATTTTGCTTTTTTAAATTATCTTCCTAAAGATTATTGTAAGTGATAAATTTCAAACCGTTGATTTTTCATGTAATCCATCGAGAAGTAGACTTCGATTTGTCAATACCTTACTCACTCTCTATTTTATTTAGGATACAATAAAAGCTCGTGAGACGTTAACGTATTATACATATTACAGCCACACAGAAAGCAACATCTTTTAGGGTTTTGAAAAACGCCTACTCTATACAGCTTTCTTTATATAATTGTCCTTATATAATTTTATCCGGTAAGAAGTTTGGAAAGACCCATGTAAAAATAAAGTAATCCCAAAGCATGTAGTGCCCAAGCTTGTACAGACTAGTACTATTATTTACGAAGAGCCGAGAGTGAGCAACGAGAAAAGACTATCTCAAGCTGTTTTTACCTCCTTTTTCATCATACGCCTTGTAAGCCTATTATTATATTTGTTTTCTTCTATATGCAGTGCATGATAGTATTTATTCATGATATTTCATTGCATATACGATCATAAACTGTTCACATACTCACGATCACGCTACGCGTTAAGAAGTCATTTATATATATATGTATATATATATGTATTACAAAGAAGCAGTAATATAACATTTATTTATATTATAACATAATTTATATCGTGACAGATAGAGAGACAAACAGAGAGAGTAAAGATGATCTTTTTTCGCGGACAGAATGGTGCGCATGTATTCGCGCTTACAGCATCATACAATCTTTTACTTTTATCGTTTATCCTTACTTGATTATTTCCACGAACATGTAATGCATACTCGTATATGGATTGATGGATACCCTCTCTCGCACTGATAAGGATAAAACTTAACATACGAGATTACATGCTTTCGCACATAGTCTTAACTCTCGTTCTGTTATGCACCTGTTATATCTACCGCCAACTAGTACTCCCACTTTTTTCTCCTCCGTGTGACTGCTTCTGTAAAACAAAATTACACAATTCTTTATGACACTTAAACTATAAGCAATAATTTCAAGGTATACTTAATTAGTAAAAACAACAATTATTGTTCTATGATTGATTATACATTTATTTCTAATAAAAACATTATAAATAAAATCGTGACATAAACTTTAAAATATATTTAATGATTTTAAAAATGTTGTATTCTGAAATATATATATATATATATATATTTCAGAATACATTTCTGAAATCATTAAATATATTTTAAAGTTTATGTCACATATGCCCCTTAATTGATAAGTGGCATAAGTCCAAAATTAGGAAAAATGAGTTTGTTATAGAAGTAGAAAATATCAAGAATGTTTGTTTTATCTATTAATTTAATTTACTTTTATTTTGTTTTTATGTTCATAAAAAATAAAAATCAATTTTACATCATAAATAATGTGACCGTAAAAAAAGCTGGACTTAAGTCACTATTCCAGCTTTTTTTGTAGTCACTTTATTTATGATGTAAAATTAATTTTTATATTTTATGGATATAAAAATAAAATAAAAGTAAATTAAATTGATAAATAAAACAACCATTCTTAATACTTTCTATTTCTACGATAAACGCATTTTTCCTA